ATTTTTTCTCCTCTAGCCAGTAAGATGACTATGCAGAAGTTTTGGGAGGTTTTGTGGATTTTTTTTCTTTTTTTTTCCAGTACTAATATTGTTACCATCTCAAAGTACATTAAAATGTTAAACTCAAGTTTAATCTATTTGATGTTAGTGAAGATTATGGGAAAGCAGATGCTGTTAACTTGAATCTTGTCAAAGGTGCCCTTTCTGTCGATGAAAGGGGAGGGATTTGGTTTCTAGAAGTGTCTGAAACTGAGGCCTTTGCGAGCTGCGAAGCGGAAGTGGCGTGAGTCTGTCCATACATCCTGGTGCTAATTCTGTGGCGTGTGAGATATGTTATCTTTTCAAACTTCTCCTGGAACTATTTCCCTTATGTCTGTACTTCCGCTGAGCTTTCTTTACGCTGGGATTATTGCCTTTTACTCTTCTTGCTCTAATTCTTTCACCAGTCTGGGGTTTTCTCCCTTCAGGAAGGGTACGTTGTATCACAGTGTAGCAAAAGGCTTTATACAGCCTTAACCTCCCTAGGAGTAGCGCTGGAGTTTTTGTTTTGGGGACAGCTACTTTGTTGTCGGAGAGAAAGCCTAGGGCGTATTTCAGAAACTTCAGAAGGTACTCTAAAGAAATTAGATTTCTAGAAAGCCATTTCCGTGCTTGTTTGCTTAAGCTTTTTTGTGGTTGGGAGCTGTCATGACTCTTGACTGGTGGGGATGTTTGCGTATTGCACATGTGGTGGTGAATCTTGAGCATACGTTGTATGGAGTTAATAGTTGTTTCTATAGTAGTAATTACAATTTCTTGTGATTGGGCTTTGTTTGCACATCTTATAATGCTGATACAAGCTTCCACAGGCTTCCACAGGAAGAACAGTGTGAACAGGACTTGAATTTCAAATAGTGGGAAAACTTTTTTCAGGATAAATTTTCTTGACTCATACTGTATCTTTACTTTTTATGGAACCATATCAATTTATTGCAGTATTAATTTACTTATAACAGTGTGCATTCTTCAGTTGCCCCCACTGAAACTGGTACTCGTCGCTGGTGCCTCTCCCTCCGAGTGCCTAAGCGTTCCTGAGCCGGCGTATGCAGCCGTGTGGGCTCGGTTTCCCACTCTTTTGTCCTTTGACTGCTCTCGTTTTTAAAATGGTCCATGCGGCTATTAAAATAGGCCGCGCTGTTCCAAATCTGTTGGTCTTTTCCTTTCCTTGAGATCATTATTACCCTTTGGTGTAACGCATTTGGATAATCTTTATGCAGAAGGACAAAATTGCTGTTGACCGGGTACTTTATAGATACAGGCACGGTCAAAATTGCTCATTTGTGTGGTGCCCTTGGAGCAGAAAGCAGAATTCGTGCCTGAGAAGTTCTTAATGGCATCTTTAGCTTTTAAAAGCAGTTGTTTGGGCATATTAACAGATCAGTCTGTCTGCAAGTGTCGGAGGCAGCGCTGATGGTGACGGGCAGCGCCCTGCGTAGCTGTGCCCGCTGTGTCCCCAGGCCAGGGGGGCCTGGGGAGCCCTTCTGGGGCACCTTGCAGGGACGGGGACGGGACCGCAGCGTGGGGCCCTGGCGCTGCCAGTGCTGCTGCCCGCCCGGTGCCCCACGCGGCAGGGAGGGCAGTGGGCGGCCCACCTGCCCGCCGGGGAGAGGCAGGGCTGCGCGCCGGGGGCGGTGGGGCCCGCAGGTTGGTACTGGGGTCCTTCTGCTTTCCTGAGGGATGTAGTTCTCCTTAATCTAGAATTAAAATTTCTTAAAGTGCACTTTTTCCTTTAATTAAGTTGTTTTTCAAATTTGTACAATGTTTTGAATAGTTTGTGTTGTAGAAACTAATGTTTTTGAAGATGACATCTATAGTACCATATTTCAGTGTTGCTTGGAGATTTATTCCTATCCTGCTGGGTGGGCACAAAGATAACATAATAGCAAGTATTGCGTTTAGATTTATTTGATACCAGTCAAGACGTCATATTGTTTTTGTAGTAAGGCTTTTGTAACTAAAAATATCTTTTAAAGTTTATTTCCTGTTATGTAGTTAAGTTTTTACTTGTTTTATAATTGCATCTTTTTGATGGTTTGGTGTTGACAAATACTGTTAACACTTACTTGTGATTAACTCACAGTCGCTAATACAGCTTTGAAAAAATTAACTTCTCTGACTTTTCCATCATGATGTACTGTTAATTTTTAATGCTAACCAGAGAGGTGAAATGTAGGCTTTGGGCAGGTTTAGGCTTGGTAAATTACTTTATCCAATTTCTCCCTTGCCTGTGAAACTCAACAGTCTGGTTCACAGATTCCTGCTTGTTTTCATTCCCCACTCATTGGGATGGCTCTTGGTCGTGGAAGCTGTGTGTGAAGACTGCTCACATGCAGAAATGGCAATAAAACAGGGCTGTATGTTGTTTTTCTTCCTCAGTACTTCTGTAGCTTAGAAAGCTTAAGTGGAAAGTGCATCTGTGCGCAAAAAGCTCTTTTGCAAAGTTGCTTAATTTAACTGTTGTATGGTCTCTGTGAGCTGTAATTAGAGAAAGCAAAGCTCACCCAGCTTGTCAGACTGCCTGGGGAACTGGTCTGACCCAGTGGTTTCCAGCAATGTCATTTATGGCTTACTGGGGACCCATGGATTGTGATGTATAGTCTCAAGAAAGATGAAGCACATGCAAACTTGCTTTTCTTATTGAAATGTATTTACAATTTTTGAAAGGAAACATTTGTAGAATTTTACATATGAATATGTACATTAACTTCTAAGCTCTTTCCAAGCAAATGGTGTGATCAGAAGGGCTGATACGCAACTCTCTATAAGCTGTTCTCCTAGATCATAGTACAGTAGTGTGTCATCATGACGTTCCCTCAGGAGGGTTTTGGGGAGGACTAGCTGCAGTGCCCAGTCGTCCCAGAGGCCTTGTCATTTGAACCCCCTTGCAGCAAACTGTTGTGGTATCACTTCCCCTAAACATATTTGATTGTCATAGATACCTTAACCTTTCCATCTAAGCTGGAATGCCACGTATAAGGCCAAAGGTACAAATATTCCTGTCGTATCACCGCAGTATCATTTAAGGCCCAGCACTGAATACCTGCACCATTGTATGGTTTTGTTTGTGAAGAAGAAAAAGGGATATTTCTAGTCCAGCAAGCTCAAGGTGGAAGAAGACTTTGGAGGGGAGAGATGATGCTGGTAATGGGCATGTGAGACTCATAAAACCTGGGCCTGGATACAGTCTTAGACACAAATTTGTTTTTCTGGCTCTGGGCTGGGGAGAGGTGCTTTTGCAGAAGAACTTGAAATTGCCTATTATTACTTTGTGAATGTCAAGGGATAAGTTTATTAAGTTTTATAAGTTGTTGTACACGTTTGACTCTTAGTTCCTTCACTTTGTGCCCTGATGCATGTCTTGCTAAAGCATGTGCAGTATGCTGCTTTGAGGTATCTAGTCCAAGTATGAGTAAGTTTGTTGTGGGTGAAATGATGAGAAATATGGGAAACTTGCCAATTGCCTAATATTCCCGTGTTAAATATAAAAGGAGATTAAGGATGAGGTTTATTTTGAGAGCTTTTCCATCGTTGAAAGATACAGGACTGGTGTACTTGCAAAGTAGCGCTTGAGGTGGTTGAGAATTTTACTGTGTAATGGGATCCAGTTTTGGATGGCGTTTTACTTTACTTTCCTTAACCTATTAAAGTAGGGTTTATTTTTTCAATATTGAGGATTTATTTTTTTGGTAGTACTATTACTACATTTACATAAGAGGGAGGAGAGTTGGGGGATGCAGGACAAAGTGTATTGTCCTTTTTCCCCCTCTTCTGTTCCCAGTGCCCCAGAAGACAATGTGGGCTCTCTGAAGGCACAGCAACAGAATAAAAATAAGCCTTGACTAGGAAGAAGCTTAAATGTCAAATAGATTAGAACACTTTTTCTCATGCAATAAACTTGACGTTTTGGAAGTGTTTTATTGTTCACTGTTATTTTTACTTTCCTATCTAATAGATAGCATCCATACAGGTTAAAAATATGGTATTTTTGCCATATTGGTTGAATGCTGAATTGTTTGGTCAGCTGTCTGCTAATTTTGACTTTGGGACGTTTGAAAGAATAGAACTTCAGGGTAAACTTCACTAAACATGAAACTTCATGAACAATGCTTTTTGAGGTTACTAGAAATGTCTGAGTGCTTCAACGAAAGTTCATTCACAAATTTGATCTTTTAAATTTTCTTGACGTGTTGGGGAAATTCAGTAAAATAATTGTTTTGCATTTCTTTTCTCATATTTTCACAAATGGTTTAGTTCAGCAAGCTGAAACAACGGATGCACGTTACAAGCTACAGGACTTAACAGAGTAAAGAACACGAAGAATCCAGGCTACCTTGGGAAAACAGTGTAGTAATCGCCTTAGCTACGTTTTCCCTTGTTACTGTTCTTCGTTCTTTTTTCTTTATGCTTATACAGCAAGCATGGTTACCCGGAAGGTACTATCTGGAAGCTCATTCTTCATTACAAATGACTAGTTTCTTGTCTCCTTAAATACACAGCGACTTAAAACTCAGCCTTAGATTTGTTAGGTCATGCTTACAGTTGTTATACACAAATGATCTGGGTGGAATATTTCATGAGTGCAATATACAAAAAAACTTCTTTGAGGATTTCAGTTACATTTTTAGCATATTGTTACTCATCTTCCCTGCAGCCTCCAATAAGTAAATTCCACTTCACAGTAATTAGCAGAACTTCTTCACTTGTTAAATTTGCATGCTATACACATTTTGTATTCTGTGCAGCAGAATTGGTATGTACATGTAATACAAACTGATGAATACATGCGATACATGTAATGCAAACTGTAGTTACTTTACATGTTTGGGTTTTGCTTCCATTTGCATCTCATTTCTTTTGAAGCTTCTTTGTAAATCAAGAAATACTGCATGCAAAAGAAAACAAAATGTGTTTAGATGTAATCTCTGCTGCGTACTCATTCTTTTTTTCCTCCTTTATTACAGAAATGAGCCGTCAGACTGCTACAGCACTACCTACAGGTACTTCAAAGTGTACGCCATCACAGAGGGTGCCTGCACTGACTGGCACTACAGCTTCCAATAATGACTTGGCTAGTCTTTTTGAGTGTCCTGTGTGTTTTGACTATGTGCTGCCACCAATTCTTCAGTGTCAGAGCGGCCACCTTGTTTGCAGCAACTGTCGCCCCAAACTTACGTGCTGTCCAACTTGCCGAGGCCCCCTGGGCTCCATTCGTAACTTGGCTATGGAAAAAGTTGCCAATTCTGTACTATTCCCATGTAAATATGCCTCTTCTGGATGTGAGATAACTTTGCCACACACAGAAAAAGCAGACCACGAGGAGCTGTGTGAGTTTAGGCCTTATTCGTGTCCATGTCCTGGTGCTTCATGTAAATGGCAAGGTTCTCTGGATGCTGTAATGCCACATCTGATGCATCAACATAAGTCAATTACAACACTTCAGGGAGAGGATATAGTGTTCCTTGCTACAGACATTAATCTTCCTGGTGCTGTTGACTGGGTTATGATGCAGTCTTGTTTTGGCTTTCATTTCATGTTAGTGTTGGAGAAACAGGAAAAATATGATGGTCACCAGCAGTTCTTTGCAATTGTACAGCTGATAGGAACACGCAAGCAAGCAGAAAACTTTGCTTATCGACTTGAGTTAAATGGTCATAGGCGGCGATTGACTTGGGAAGCAACTCCTCGATCTATCCACGAGGGAATTGCAACAGCCATTATGAATAGTGACTGTCTAGTCTTTGACACCAGCATTGCACAGCTCTTTGCAGAAAATGGCAATTTAGGCATCAATGTAACTATATCAATGTGTTGAAATGGCAATCAAACCTCTTCAGGCCAGTGTTTAAAACCGCTGCATTTAATTTAGCAGAAACTAGGATAACCATCTTTGACTGTCAGACAAATTATTTGGTAGACAGAAGATAGACGTATATGAAGGTAAATAAAAGGAAAGGCTGTTAAATTGCAGGAAGCAGTTGCATGTAGTAACACTAATATATTTAAAATAAGTCAACAGTAAACCACTGAAAATATATATACACCCAAAATGGGCATCTTTTGTATTAAGAATTGATTCTACAGGAAATGTTGTAAAATAATTCTAAAAACTTGTTTGTAGATTGATTGTACTGTTGAAAAGGATACTGTTTCGTGTTTTTGTTTGTGTTTTTTTCCTCCTCCTTTGACTGACAAGCCATGTTGAGCGGTCTGATCTCTGGCCGCTGCTTTTTCCCCCACCTTTGTAAGTCACTACATAGTATTGCTGCTGTTTGTGTATATTTTTTGTGTATTTGCTAATTTTTATTAACTTCTAGTTTTTCATTAAATAAATATGACTTTCTTTTCTGTAATTCAGGTTTTCTCTTTTTTGTATCTTTTTAAAATTAATTACAAGTGTCATCTTTTGATATGCATTATTGCTATGGTAAAACTTATATTTCTGTATGTTTGGTAAATTTTGTCTCTTTCCAGTAGTCAGTTCATTGGTGATACTGTTCTTAATTGAGCTATTTTGTGAATGTATTGAGCTCGAAAGGAGTAATTATGTTCAAGATGTGTTGGGAAAGAAGGCTCCTTTAAAAACAGTCTAGATGTTGTTGTACTTTGAGTTATATCTTCTAACAAAAATGAAGAATTATTAAGATTTTTCCAAATTTAAAAGAAGAAATTCACATTTCAAATTTAAAGATGCTTAGAAACTCAGTTGCATCCTTGTATGTGTTGGTTTTTCAGTACAAAGAAGGTATTGTCTTACACAGTGTTTGTAACTATAAAACCAGACCATTTATTATTTTTTTTTTTTAAAAAAAGGCAGTCAGAATGAGATGTTTTCAGTCTTTTTATATTTGTCATTAAAAGAATACCTAGCAAATTAAAAACAATTTTGCTTTTGCTTTAGCTCAAAGTTTGACACATTAATACTATTGCTCAGTTTCTTGTCCTCATGTCTTTTGGTTGCTACTAATGAAAGTAATTTTCTTGAACTGATCTTGTATATCATTGTAGTGATATGATATACAGTAAAATGCAAATAATTTCTTACAGGTATAATTCACCAGCCATAAAGGCTTTTGTAGGATATTGGGCTTTATGCAGTTGCCTATATGTGAAAATTTTACCATGAATGTATATGGTATGCGTGTTATAAAACATGGAGGCAGAAAAAGGAGCAAGCTGAAAAACTGTTATATCTCAAGCTATTTGAAAGAAACCTTTGTCAAACCTAGTAATTATGGACATCTGTTTGGAGAGGTAGTCTGGCTATTAACTACTTTTGTAACACATTAAAATACAGTTTATTTACTGTGCACTGTCTTAACTTTCTTATCAGAAATTGATCTATTAAGACAACTCTTGTTCAGATTTTTTTGATGCATGATGAGGTAAGTAGTTCTACAGGTAAGGAACATGAAAAACCTCAGGTTGGAGTAATAAAATAGTACAGAAAATAGCGGAATTAGTGAGGTTCACGTTTTAGAAGTTGCTATGATGCTGTTCAAATTGTGCACAGATTTCATTTACAAATGTGCTGGTATCGTGTGACAGCAGATAAATGCTTCAAAGGAGTCTGCCATCTAGCATTTTTTTCCTTATGAATATACAAATGATTGTTTTCCAGTCTTCTAAGTCCAGTAATTGCTCTTGCCTAATTAAGCTTGTGACTGCAGTTTTGTCTTCTGGTCTACTGACAGAAACTTGGCTAAACCCTTACATTATTTTTATGTACATAAACATACACACTCACCTTCCCACTCACTCACTCTTGATTGCTTGCCTGGGACTGAAGTTTACTCGTACCAGCCAAGGTGATGTTATTTTAAATCTCAAATTTTGTTAAGAAATTCTAGCTAAGAACCTGTAAGGGTAGCCCTGAGCAGGCGCATACTTAAACTAAAGCATAACAGGGCTGCATAAGTGCAGGGTTCGCATTAGACTGTTTACTGCTGCTTGTCCTTTGAATGGCTCAACTTCGGCTGCGTGCCCCAAAAGAACCGTGGCTCTTAAACCCTTATGGCACTGATCTGCAGTGATTTTATTTATGCTAGAATGGGCTAGTTCTCAAGAGTATACTTTTGAAGAGGACTTTAAAAAATTGTGTTTGTAATAATTTTTAGAAGCTACTGGTGTGGTCAGACTGTTCTTCATTGTGTTTTACAGGTAACAAATGCTATAGCATAATTAATGTGTGCTGATCTATTATAATGTAAACTAGTATTACTCTACTTGATATATTAAAAAAAAAAAAAACTGTATAAAACAGTATAAAACATTTGACCTCCAGCTGCAGATGGAACATACCAATTATGCTTAGGCCCAGATCCTCAAAAGTATTAGGAGCATAATTCAGTGGACTGCCTCTGAATAGTTTGAGGATCTAGTAAGTAAACTGCACGCTGTTATATAAGAGAAAGGAAAATGACGTACTAAAAATCTGTACAGTTTACTACCTTATCTAAAATAAATGGTATATTAAAGCCTGGTAATGTCTTAGCATTAGCTATTTATTTTAGAAAGTATTGTTTTTAACTAGCTTTGCTGTATTGGGAAAAGGGTATTCAAAAGTGTCTTTGAATGAAATGCAGTAAATCTTGCATTTGTCCCCATAAATTTTAGTGCTATATCTGGGGGGGGGGAGGTCTGTTTTAACCTATCATCTGTCTTGCTAGTTCTCGTTTACAGTATTCAAAATTAAAGTAGGTTAACTTTTTTTGTATTGCTGCCTATAGCATTGTATTACTTATTTCAGTGTTTTTTCAAAGCTAGTACGAGTAAGAGTATGAATTGCACTAGGCAGCTAGTTACAGTTGTTACAGCGTGGGTAGAGGAAAGGCGCTACCAACGCATTCTTGTGCCTTTGATAAGCTTCGTTGTCGTATGGTAAATTCTGAGGGGCATACTCATGTTTAATGCCAGCTTCTCTTAACTGTTAGTTGCAAATTAGAATAACCCCTGGTGTATTGAAAGTACTTTAAAAGATCTTTACTGTTCTAGCTTGCTGCTACACTTGGTTTTTATTCTTGACTGAGTTCAGTAAAAGCAAAAGAAAAATAAGGCACGCACTTACTTACTCACTTAAGCATTATCCATCGTAACAGATAGTTACTATATAGACTTTAAAAAGCAAAATAACATGACTAAGCCAGCTCTGCAAGCAAGAACATGAAAAACTGTAATTAAATCTGTGTAAAGAAAGATTTAGTGCCATTTGAGTGGCACTAAAAACTCTACCTTTCAAGTAAAGTCCATGTGGGCAAGACTTATGAATTGGGAGGGTGTGGCAGGGAAAAGCCATTGCTCAACTCTTCTTAGGGTAGGAGCAAAGCTTTGGTTCTTCTGAAGTGAAATTGCTGTGGAACTCCCCCCCCCCAGCACTTGGTATCTTCCAAAAAAAAAAAAACAAAACCCACAGCTTTTCTGCAGATAGAGCAGCTGGCACTGGCCTTGCATGCAGTTCTGTCTTCGCAGTAGTGCAATGCGCAGGAGTGTTACTTGAGCTCCATTAAGTTTCGTCAAAACAGTGTTGTTTTTTTTTTTTTTTCCTACTAGTTTTGCTTAAAGGCAGTTGGCATATTAGCTATCATACCTTTCTGGTGTTTTACTGATTGTCTAGTTTCTTTGCCCTTTTTGTGTTCAAGTAAGGCAGAAAAAGATTCTGACTATGCATTACCTCCTAATTGTTTGCTAGCGAAATTCTAAACTATGTTGATGGGTAAGAGTAGAATTCTCAAAATAATTAAACAAACAAAAGTGTTTTATTTTTATCACTTTATTTGATTAAGTTTAATAATCTTCTGTGAATGTTTTAAAAGCTTTTATGAATCAGCTGCAGAAATAACATTCTTGTATCATTAATAAATATCAGTGCTATTCCAGGAAAATCAGCTTTCTTTGTATATATACGAAATTAAAGCAAACTTACTTACTTACTTAATTTTAATTTACAGGCTGCTTCTATTATAGGGTTTTTTTCACTGATGTAATTTGCATTTCACAAGTACACTTCAGTTTGTTTCAGAATTAATGAGCACCAGAATGTAACATGCTGGTTCTTTTCTTGTAGTTGACTCTAGTAAAAAGCAAAGAAAAACTTAAGAACCCTAGCTTACAAAAGTTTATATTTCTATCTATCTTCACTAACATCTAGGGAAAAAGAAGAGACAAAGTTATCGAGAGAGATAGCTATCCTGAGATGCGATACTGACAGACTTTCTTAAACCTTAAATAATTTACAGTATCTAATTCAGTATTAATGATCCAGTTCTCTTGGCACTGTTAATTAAATGAAACGATTTAATTTTTATAGGTTAAACCCCAAACATAAGCATGTCAGAATCAACAATGTTCCTAGTTTTGTGTCAGGTAAGATTTAAGAAGAACACGTACTTTGTCCCTCCAAAACCGTTACCAGGCTTAAGCTTTTTCACAAAGTCTTCAACTATGCTCAACCTACTTCCAGTGCTGTAAGTACAACTTTGCATACATGAACTTTACTGCATTATCTGTCTCCTTTCCTAAACAAGAATTAGTATATTTAAGTTCCTCTTTAGTTGCTTCCTGTATTTAAGTGTGAAAAATGACATCTAGATTGGCATTACTACAAACTAGAACTATGGGGAGGTGCTGAAGGGACTTACTGATTCAGATGAAATTGCTTCTGTTTAAACCCTTTAAGCATTTCTTTAAATCTCAAAAACTTTGTATTTATTTTTCCTGTGATGCTACTGCTCCTCAGCGTATTACTTGAACACTCATTTCCTAAATACAGATATTATTTTACTCTGCACCAAGTCAATTTGCTTTTGGGGTAACCTCCCCACCCCCAGTAGCGTCTCTTGCTGCAGGGGCACTTTCATCTGAACACATCATAGGATTTTATCTTACTTCCTGTTTGTTCTCTTTACAGATGTTATCAGCTATTGACGTTTATATAAAAATACACCAGAGAGATAGCTAGATAAGCTAAGGAATTGTTTCTTGATAGCTTCAGATCTCTCATGCTTGAATCTCTCAATATCAAGAAATGAGTATTTTTTTCCAGGTTTCTTTGCCAACAGTAGTCAAAAGCAGCAAACGCCCATAAAACGCGGTTGCAGGATGTTAACTGCTGAAGTAATACTTTTATTTTGATTGCATTCACATCTGCATTTGAACAATCAATCAACTTTAGTTGATAGTTATTGATCAGTATTAAAATTTGATGCAGAAGTAATCTTAGCCTGTCTGCTTAAAGTTTACTATTCAAACGCTCAACTCTGGGCTTAACTGAAAATCCTCCATCAAAAGCTGCATTAAGAACTTCATCTAGACAGCTTGCCATAACAAAAGTCAAATCTTGCCGTATGTTCACTGCAATTTCTTCAAGATCTTTTTCATTTCTTTGAGGAATGATAATTCTCTTCAGTCCAGCTCTGTGTGCTGCCAGGACTTTGTCTTTAATTCCCCCTACCTAATAAAGAGAAAAAAAACATATTAAAAAAAGCATGATACTAATCTAATACAGTAATTATTGTAACAAATTTAGACATCACACCTGGAGTTCAATTTTAATGAAGGTTCTCCCTCCCCCAGTCGTTTAGAAAAGTAATTAAAAATGCAGCAATAGTTTTAGCTCATTATATGCTTAACAAGGGAAATATGGTGATGTGCTACAGTATCCTTTCTGTAACAGTTAATAATGGAAGGAGGGAAAAAAAAAAAAAAACCCTGCATTAAAAATTAATCTAGGAATGCAGGTGCAAGAGTATCAAAAGTGGCAAAAGTCATTCCTTGCAGGAAAAAAAATTTCTTTAGAACGATTGCCTTAACACTTTATTTTTTCTTATGAAATCCTGAAATCCTGCAACTGCCATCAGAACAGAAGATCTTCAAGATAAAGGTATTATGGGGGGGGGGTATAAGTCAAGCGTGCAAGCCCACCTGATAAATAACTTCAGTTGTACAAGGGAAAACACACAGAAAAGCAAACCTGCACCCCCAAAACTGCAAAGGTGGCTTTGTTCTAGAAAAATAGGCATCACTTCAATAAGACACCTGTCTGAGTTTGTAATGAGACTCAAGGAGGATTTTTAAATTAGTTTTTCTTTTTGGCACAGCTATAGCGTTTTCCTCTAACCTTTTTTTTTCCTAAACCTACTTAAAGACCGTTTTAGAGAAAAAAAGCTTGTAATTTTAAGATGTTTTAGAGCAAAGGGCAGCCTTATGTCATCATAGCAAAAAAGGTAAAATTTAGGCTTTGTAAAATACAGTGAACCATAAATCCTCATGGTTACAGTGTCCAGTCTGGACAACGCTACATACTTGTCACGTT